CTTCTCTTCCCAGAGCACAGAACTTTCGTCACCACAGTTTGGAGCAGAGTACATTAGTTCCCAGAGATGTGAAGGTCTCTGATGGATGCAGGCAGCGACTGAAGGATACATTCAGTCTTGTATATGGTTCTGATCACATTACTTTTCCCCACCTTCACAGCTGTATTTAATGCTCAGCACTTTCAGAAAAAAGACACTACACAACCCACTTCATCCTTTTGTGAAACAGGATAAGTCATCACCATTCCTTTCACATAATAGAAAGATTTGATGGATAAAATATCCAGATTTCTTGTGTAACCTGCTACCACGTTTCTCCAAAACCATGGCAAAGGCAGCCCAGTTAGTTCATCCTCATTTCCCACTTCTTTACACTCCTCACTGCAATGCAAAAACTGGACACTGAAAGGAGGAAGAGCAGGGTTGCTGATGCTGCCCAGCCTGCCAGCTCCACAGATGCCACCAGCAACCACTGTTAGTCCAACAGCTCCCCAGAGAGGTGAGTGAGTCACTGTCCCTGGAGGTATTTAAGAAATGTTTAGATGTTACACTAAGGGACATGGTTTAGTGGGGAAATACTGGTGGTAGGTGGACAGTTGGACTGCATGATTTTAGAGGCCTTTTCCAACTGTTATGATTCTACAGTTCTATGTCTTCTCACCAATGAACCGTGAATGTTCAGGCTGAGCAGCCGCAGCCCAATCAATTAAGAAATGTGCCATAATAGAGAACAAACACATTAAGGTCAGCATTGTAATTAGGTAACCAGAAAACACATTGCTTTACTTAGTCCTGCTCCACAACCACAACTCCAGTAAGTGAATAAATATACAGAAAGGATAAAAACAGAAGGGCTACTAAATTTAGTGAAAGACCTAAATACGCATGGCATTGGTATAAAAGAATCTGCACATAGCCTCAAGTATGCATGCACACATTTCCCACTTCCCATTAATATACCTCTGCATACCTTCTCTTTATAAGCATGCTAGAATATTCTGCAGAAAAAAAGATGACTTTTTAAATGAATAAGGCAGTTAAAGAATCCCACGCAAATAGAGAGCCTGTTATATTCTCAAGAATACGTTTCCAAGAGCCACTTACTTGCAAGTGTAGGAGCACCATCTAGCGTTCAAAGGAAAAAAAGCAAAAATGGTAAAAAGCAAATGGTATCCTGTGCTCCATCAGAAGAGGGGTGGCCAGCAGGGAGAGGGAAGTGATTGCCCCTCTCTACTCTGCTCTTGTGAGGCCCCAGCTGGAATACCGTGCCCAGGTCTGGAGTCTCAGTACAAGACAGAGAGCTGTTGGAGAGGGTCCAGAGGAGAGCCACAAAGGTGATCAGGGGACTGGAGCACCTCCCCTATGAGGACAGGCTGAGGGAGCTGGGCTTGTGCAGCCTGGAGAAGAGGCAGCTGTGGGGTGACCTCATTGCAGCCTTTCAGTACCTAAAGGGAGCCTATAAACAGGAGGGGAAATAAACTCTTTGAAAGGGTAGATAACAGCAGGACAAAGGGAAATGGTTTTCAGTTGAGGGAGGGGAGATTTAGGTTGGATGTTGGGGGAAGTTCTTTACAGAGGGAGTAGTGAGGTGCTGGAACAGGCTGCCCAAAGAGGTTGTGGATGCCCTGTCCCTGGAGGTGTTCAAGGCCAGGTTGGATGGGGCCCTGGGCAGCCTGGTCTGGCATTAAATGGGGAGTTTGGTGGTCCTGCAAGTGGCAGGGGGTTGGAGATTCATGATCCTTGAGGTCCCTTCCAATCCTGGCCTTTCTGTGAATTCTGTGATTAGGCCAAGCAGTTCTTACACCCATGAAATAGTACTTTCAGTGATTATTCACAGTGGCCACAGCTGTAGATAAAAGTCAGTAAATAGAAGTCAGTGTTCACGGAAAAAGCCTCAGGGTTCCAGGCTCACAGCAACAGGTGATCCTTACAACCTCCATTTTTCAGCAGTCAGCTAATCATTAACAGAGTATCCCACCTGGATGCAATAGATCCCTGCAATTTTTATTTACTTTTAGGAACTTAGTTAAAACATTTAACCGAGCAGCCAAAAGTCCTTTTCAAAGATTCACTATTCTCACAGATTAAATGCATAGAAAAAGGCAAAACCTTGTGCTTCTCAGAATTTTGCCACTGGCCAGTAAAACCAGTACAGACTGTAGAACAAGACATGCAAGATGGAGCTGAGAGAGCAGGACCTGCTCAGCCAGGGAGGAAGAAAAGTGAGAGAGACAGCAGCCCTCAGCTCCCTGACTGCAAGATGGGGCCAGCCTTTTCAGTGTGAAAGCAAAAAGGCAAAGGACACAAGCTGAAACACAGGAATTTCCAGTAAGGATTTATCTGATTATTCCTTTCTTTAACCAAGAGGGTGGGAACACCAGGACAGGTTGCCCAGGGGAGCAGAATCTCCATCTTTTGATATGTTCAGGATGCACCCAGGTGTGTCCCAAAGCAACCTGAGCTGATTAGAACCATTTTTGAAAGGTAGGTCAAACTGGGTTACCCCAGCAAGTCCTTCCCAGCCTAAATGATGTTTTCATTGTCAGTTTGGCTGCTTCTTGCCAAACTTTCTTTCAGGGTCACATCCATCAGAACTTCTCAGTTTCTCCAGATCCTACACAGATGTGTGGGCTTCTTATGGTAACCTGAGGTGCTTTAAAAAATAATTGAGAGCTCAAATACAACATTCTTAAGTATCAATTTTATCCATATGAAATCTGCTTGGAAAAACACTTTAAATAACCACTGACTCTGTCAATAAATCTCTTTTTTTAAATCATAAACTTTCAATTGGCAACTTCTCCTTATGCTCCTGGCAATGCTTCACTGAATAATTCCCGAATTTCTTCACTTTCTAACAGTATTGAAAGAAAAAAAAAGTCAAATCCATACAATTAGAATAGATGTGCCAAGTTATTAAAAACTGCAGCTATAATCTGAAGAATCCTGAGTGACAATTCTGGGTAATAAAGGGAGATTAAAATGGAATTTATCATTATGTAATTCTAGATAACTTTGCCTTTCATACCATCAGCTACTTCAGACACATCAGTCAGAAGAGCTATCATTGCATCTAAAATTGCTTTTAGGGATGGCAGCTCCTGCAAGCCACAGCTCAGAGCTGGCTAGAGTAGGAGGCAATTTATCCCATGGATTTCGAATCTGTCAGCTTTATATATGTAGAGTGGTATTTTATATAGCGAGTCATATCATAAAGATGGCAGTATCAAACCCAGAATGAGTTCCTGGAACACAGTTTTCCACTGCTGAATCAGATACATCTCACAGGAAAGTTATATTCTTTTAGCAGTTTTCACTCAGCTCATACAGGGCCAAAGATTCTGTTATTTTATCAGATATACCTTCTGCTGCATTCACAGCCCACCTGCCCAAGAGAAAACTAGCATTACTAGGAAACATTAGTTCAAGAAGAAACCATATCATAATTCAGATGCTTATAAGATTCAACATGCAACACTTTTTATCTTTCCCAATGATGAAATGCTGCAAATGAGAGTTAACCATTATGTCAGGAAACATGTTTGTGCCATGCCAGCTTATAATGGAAAGGCTTGGGCCACTTACTCTGCAGAGGAAAAAATCAGGGTGGTCATCTGCAGTGAAATTCAGCCTTGGTTTCTGGGCCACAAAAGCAAGTCTTCACAACTATTAAGAAAGCTGTTCTCAAGGGAAGGTTTTGCATCTTTTTCAGGAAGAGTTTAAAAAAAAACAAACTTTTTTTTTTTAAGTACAAGAGTTTTGCAACAAAAGGTACAGAATTTATGAAATAACTTCTAGTCATTTGCAAATGTGCACTTGTTCAGCTCTATGAAGTGGGAAAGTTTTGCCTCTCTATATGATCATACCTGAATGAGAGTTTTCTTCACACAAAACATCCCATTTTGCCAGCTAATCCACTATGGCTGAAATTACTGGATCCCAAATGAAACTGCAGCCTACAGCTGCCTGTGAGCTGTACTGCCTCTATAATGCCTGCAGCTGAAAATCTGATCACAAGATACCCTGGCCATGAGCAACCCAGGGTTCTGCAGCTGTGCTGTAGGAATGGCTGATGTACTACTTACTTTCTAACATCCATTCCCAAATCACAAAGTAAATCTCTTCCACTGATGAATCAAAGCTGTTTTTCAAAAAGTACCGATTTTAAATAATTACTCATTTTACAAGAAAATTACTTATTTTTCTTCCCTGCCTTAACTAAGCACTTCTGTATTAGCATTCACTGAGCCAGGCTTTGGGGATTTACCAATGTACTGAAGATAACAAACATATAACACAGTTGTTAGAAAAATCTTTGTTGGAGTGTGCTGAACTGCTCATCTCCAGTTACACTCAAGATAGTGGTCAACATGGCATGATTGCAAGCTCGGGCAACCTAGCCCAGGAAAGTCTACTTCATAGATGTTTTTCTGATTTTGTAGAAAGAACTAAGGAAGCTGAAAGCTCAAATTCCACTGCATGCTTCCACACCCATAAAATCAAACCCAGCTGACATCCTATTAGACTAAGCCACCTGTTCTTTGCGTGCAAGATGGAAAAAGATGCTTTTTAATGTACTCTGCTGTTACCAGAGCTGTGGTGACAAGAACGCTTGCATTAAAGAACAGAGGAAGAGAAATATGGAACTGCACCTATAGGCAGCCTGAGTGCAATAAGGCTCTGTACCTGCCAGGCAAGCTGCTTGCACACAAAAGCTATTTTTCCCAGGTAAATGGTGGGTTTCCATATCTAGAATGCTTTTAAGTGACAGAGTACAACAAACTCATGAATAAATAAAAACTAACATTCTCAACATGATGCTCTAATACATTACTACATTTTTCTTTCCATGGCCATAACCATGACTTGTAACAGGATTATTGTCTTTCACCTTGAGTAGATACATACACTGTAACTAACACAGTCACAATTTACACTGACTATAAACAACACAGTGCTATAAGCATACTAAACTTCCTACCAGGAAATTCATTACTTACAGGATGTTATTAGGTTCCTGATGTTTAATCCTGACTTGCAGAAAAAACTGAATACATAGGAAGAAGTCATTTATTTTTTAACTCCGTCTTTCTGAGAAAAAGAGGTTTTAAAAAACACATGAGTGAGATTAAATGCTTTAAGTCCCAGTATCAAACCCTTAGAAAAAAAATATATCCATAGCAAAATGGAAAGCACAGCAATGACAGCAGAATAGCAAAATCCTAAGCCACAACAAGCAAGGATCAGCTCAAACACAACTGCTGTAGACACAGAAACAAAAGAAAGAAGATACTTACATTTATAAGGCCTCACAAATACAGGAACCTCCAGAAAGATATCCTTACCTCCACTGCCAACCCTTATAAGAGGTCTGGGAAAGAGTAGATACTGCTCCACCCCCTCTGGTCAATCAGGAGCATTGCTTGCACCTGAGCTCCCCTGAGTTGGCCCTGCCTTCCTACCAGGTGTTCAATCACTACTTCAAGCTGTGACTTAGCATTTTTACTACAGTATCCCGCTTCTAGGATGAAACCAAAGAAGGAAACTGAAATACAGAGTTTCTTCTTACTGCAGCACTCACAGAAGCAAATAAGCGGGTTACAACTGGAAAGGTAATTTAGCTGGTTTAAGCCAGAGCACAGAACTAAAAAACAAGGAAAGAAAGAAGAGTTTAAAGAAGTTAGACATACTCGCATCAGCACATGAAATGGTCTCTGATGCACTAAGGACAGCAGCCACAGAAACCTCAACCCACTCGTACTGTTGAGCAGCTGTAGAGAACGGCCTCAGGGACTGGAGGAGATCAAGGATGGGACAGCTCACTCAACTGCAGACTTTGGAAGATAACAGAATGAGTTATTAGAAAATCAGTGAGCATCTCTGAAGACAGAACGTTATACAAAGTTGATAACGTTAATGTGACAAGAAAAAAATCCTGTCGTGACCGTTTTCCCTTTCAGATATGGTAACTGGGCTAAGTAAGTAAGGAAGAAGCCACTGATGTGACACGCTTGGCTTTGATAGGACCTCCAATCTAAGACACCCCATGTTCTGGCAAGTGAAGTAGGGAACTGCAACCTACATTAAAGCACAGTTACAATCGCCACGTGCAGAAGTAACTAGGAATAATTCTCTTGCAAGCTGTAAGTCAATTTAGTCAATTTCAAGTAAGGTTCCAAAATGTTCTGTCACCCACCTGGTTTTATGTCATGTTTTATTTCATTGCTATGCTGGCAGTGAAACAGAGAAATGCACTTTCAGAATCCAGGCTCACACTAAGCTGGGAGAGACTGCAGTTTGGTAAACAGAGCTCAACGCGATTTTGATGATCTGAGAAATGGTCTGAAATTCTGTAATCCCATAGAGATGGCTGCAAATTATTACAGTGACAACCAAGAAAATAAATTCAAATATCTAGGGGAAAACTAACAGCAAAAACACGGGGAAAAATCCCTGAAGGTTACAGTGGATCACAGTTAGATTGGAGAATGCAGCCAGGAGCGGGAGAAAAGAGAGATCATTTGGCACTACGAGTAACTGGGACACAAGAAACAAGAGTTCTGCTCTGTTTAGTGGCAGCGAAACCTCAGCTGGCACACGTTATGAAGGTCGGACACCGCACTGAGAGAAAATTACACACAGCAAAAACTAGATCTGAGCGTGCACGAACAGTGAACGGGAAACTATCAGGGCACGAGCGTCTGCGATAAGAGGGAGAAATAAGATTGTGATCTCCTCAAGCTCTTTAGCGAGTAAGCGACAGAAATGGATTCGATTTATATCCATCAAGCACTGAACCGGTAACCTCCTGCGGTAAGGAAAAAAAAAACAAACACAACAGCGACTTATACAAATCATCATTAAGTCGTGGACCTATCAAGAGACCGCGGTGCCCCTGCCGCTGGGTGCCTGTAAAGGCGGGTGGGGGGCGGCGCCCCGTTGCTTTAACCCCGAGCGAAGAGCCCACCCAACCGACCCCAGGCCCGGCGCTCACCATGGCGGCGGCCACTTCGCTTCCCGCGGCCCTGGCAACGGACGCCCCGCCCTGCGCTGGGCGTGAGGCTGTTCCGGACGGAAGCGGAAGGTGGGCAGCGGCGCTGGCGGAGGTGACGGGTGCGGGCTGTGGAGCTGGTAACGTGTGGGGGTTGTGCGTGGGGGGCGGCGGGCGCCGGTTGGGGTTGGGGTTGGGGTTGGGGTTGGGGTTCGAGAGCGGCGCCGGGCGGGAAGGAGTATGATGGAGTCACAGAGGGTGAGGGCTCTGCGTAAAGGAGGGAGACTGCAAGGAGGGATTTGAAGAATGGGAACTAGAACTGGACGAGCAAGAGATGGAAGTTGAAGCCCGGCCCTCGGTGAGAGAAGTAGCAAGTGCCAGACGGCTCGGATCCTTCTTTTGACTTTTCTCGGGTTTCGGGGGCATCTTTGCTTTTACATTTGTTTTGGTGTGGGCTTTTTACCTCCTTTAGAGCTTATAGTTCACAGTAAACAGTGTATCAGTGTGCCACTGAACTGAATTTTAGAGGCTGTATTCGAAAACACGTTGATTAACTTTCAAGATTAACTTCCCTTGCTGAAGATGCTTTCCCTCCTTTCCTCCTCAGGATTACGTAGTTAAGAAGAGCTGACTGCTAGCAAGAAAATGACATCTCTAGAAAAAAGTAGGTGGTTGGTGAGGTATCTGAGCTGACTGGATTAAAAAGTCTTTAACCTGAATTCTAAGGTCTTATTTCTTTAACTGCATGAAATGAGCAGTTAATTAAACTAGATCTCCTAACGTGGTTTTGCCTGGAAAAGCAGGTTTGTCATTCGTGCGGTTACGTGTCTACACCTTTGTCTGATAGCCCTCTCTGGCCTTTAGAAATTGCTGGCACTGCCTGAATCCTGAAAGTAGAGCACTGTAATGGCAACACTATTGTGTTTTTGAAGTCCAGCATGGGGAATAGGACAGAGGATGCAGGCACATGTTACTCCCTGCAGTAAGAGAAATAATGGCAGTATGTGTAGCAGTGTTCTGAGAAGCTTTCCTGCCATGTCCACTGTGGGGAAACCTTACTGTGATAGCATTTAACTCAGCCGAAAACGTAATGAGCTTCAGCAAAATGAATTTCAGGCATATTTGGGAATCTAGAGCAGAATGTAGCCTTACTAGGAGTACTGGGGGCTGTTAATTAAAAATGAAATGCAACTGATATGTTGGCTTTTTTAAATCATTAACTCAAAACATGTTGTAGTACTTAAATCCTCTTAAATTTCTTATGGTGTTAGTAGCTGTATAGCTTAATAGCAGCTTTGGATTTTTAAATAGATCTGCTGTGATTTTTGTCAGCTCCCAGAAGCTGAAGTTCACTGTCACTCCATAGGTAACATTGTCAGGAGTTTTTCTCCTTAATGGTTGTTGATCATATCTGCACATCTACCCAATATTATGTGATGGAAACTAGTAAAATTTATCAGTGAACGTGTCATAATTAGCAGTGCATACTTGAGTAAAGGCTTTCTAGATTCTAATTTGTGTTTGATAGCTCCTGCTGCAAAGGACTGTTTTGTATGCAGTGTAAAATTAAAACTTTCACCTCTGAAGTACGTAAATGAAGGGAAGAGTTGCAATGACATTAAGATGGTAACTTCCTCTGCTATTTCTGAACTGTAGTTGACTATGCCTCATCACCCATCCGAGGACCTGGAGATGGCATGGAAACAGAGCAGACGGGTGAATCTGTAGAAGTAAGCACTGGAGCCAGCGCTACAGCCCATCACATCCACCACAGCCCACAAAAAAAAGCAGTCTCATCGCTGAGTCCTGGAGTTCTCCAGCTAGGGCAGATACATGCTGATAAATCAGTAGAAGTTGAAGCTGTGCGTATATTAGTCCCCAAAGCAGCTATCACCCATGTAGTTGCAACTAAAAATGCTAAAGTAGCTAAATCGGTGGGACACAAAGGAGATGCTTTCCATCAGTCAGATGGAACTGCAGATCCCAAGAAAGAACAGACTGAGCTCAAAAATGCAATCGAAAAGCTGAAGAATTCAGAAAAGCGGTTGTTACAGGATAAAGAAGGTCTCTCTAATCAGCTGCGTATACAGACGGAGGTAAGAAATGAAGGGTTTTTTTTTTCCTCACAGTTGAGTTGCTTTGGTTTATTTAGCTTGTGAATAAAATCAAAGATAACTGCTACGACACTGAAGCTTTGAAACAAATTGTTTTCTTTTTGAACGTACAAGATAGAGAGTAGAAATGCATCAGAGTACTCTGGTGCTTCTCTGTCAGCAGATAAAAATATCAAAGCATGAATCTGGGAGAAACAAACACACTGTAGGACTGCAGGGAAATGTCTTTTGAGGTGCAAGATCTTTTCTCATGACCCAACACTTAGTAAAAAAAAAAAAATGTTACACCATAGAAGGAGGTGTAACATAACTTACAAATGACTTATGTAATCCTTTGCTATTTTACTGAGTCAGGACTTGAATAGGACTGAAACTTTCTTTGTTTCATGTACCACGTTTTTATTCTTCCTCCTCGAATGCTGTCAAATTTAAACAAGGAAGTGTTAAATGTGCGTTACTCTTAAAATTTTGTCTCACTGGAGTGGATTGTGAGGCTTATTATCCTCTCCTTTGGGTGCATTCCATTCTGGAAACAGAAACTGCTCATTTTAAAAAATAAGTTGCCTAAGTTGCACTGCGTACAAAAGTAGTAAGTGTTTCAATCCATATTGGTAATGATCAGATAGTTTGGTCTGATTCTAGGTGAATCGGGAGCTGAAGAAACTCCTTGTTGCTTCTGTTGGAGATGATCTGCAGTATCACTTTGAGCGGATGGCTCGTGAGAAAAATCAGCTTATCCTAGAAAATGAAGTCTTGGGCCGGAATCTGTCTCAGTTGTCTGAACAACTGGAGCGCATGTCTATACAGTGTGATGTGTGGCGAAGCAAATTCCTAGCAAGCAGGTATTCCCACTTCAAGCAGCATTTTTCTGTAGGCTTTTATTATATGCACCCACTGCAGCACTTGGGAATGTGTATGTGTGTGTATATATATATGCAGAGGGCAACCACAACAGCTATTGTAAGACACTTACTATTTAGTTTCAATCAGAGAAGAGATAAAAGAAACTGAGCTGCTTGTAAATCTCAGTAGTTCTGCCTTTCAAAAGTAATAGTGTGGGTCCTAATACTCCTAAAATGCTAACTCCAGTTCTTGTTAACATAAGAGAAGTTCTTATTTCTGATCAACTGTGTAACTGTGTCCAGTTTAGGGTTTGAAAATGTCTTCCATGACAGCTGAAAGTATGATGCAATCACCAATTTGTTTTTAAAAAAAAAAAAAATCATTAATTTATCAGGGATCTACTAAAACCAGCAACTAAGAATGGAAGAATAGAGAGACCTCTTCATTAAATGTTTGTTTACAGAAGGAACCCTACGGTAACTTCTGTACTCATAAACTAATACATTGTAAGAGTTAAGAGCAAATCTTAAGCTGGTCTAAGTGTCAGTCTCATTTGACAAGGGATTAGACTTTTAACTTGCCAAGTGTAGATGATCTATCAGATCTGCAAATAGTGATAGGATTTTAATCTTCTACTGTACCCATCTATAACTCACTGCATTTTAACTAGTGATGCTTAGTGCATATTATGAAAATGACTTACTGCTTGAAGGAAATGAGAATGTATGATCTAGTCCATTTAAATTGCTGGTATTCAGCAGTTTTGATGTACTGAGTGAATGATAAGCAGTTGTGATAGTACCATCCAGGCAAGCATTACTATCCTAGTTTTACTTGTTTCTTCAGCATTAATATGAATCCTAAGATCACTGCAAGGGAGCCTCTTCCAGTAACACTTTTGACAGTGTGGAGATGTGATCAAAGTAACACCTGTTCTATTGTAAGGCTCTCATTCATTCAAGTCTCAGATTCCTTGCTAGTAGTTGTTAAAATGCATTCTGTTCTTGGTGTTTGCAGTATCTCAGGCATTGAAGTACCAGCTCCAGGGGTCTGTTGGCATAGAACAGCAAAATATCACAAGCAGTTCTCACATGCTTGTATCTGGAGCATTTGACATCTAGGTATTGTGCCCCGAGAGAAGCAGTGAAGTGGATGCAGTCTGCAGCCATAGCTGTCATCTTTAGAAACGACTGTGAAAAGATGTGATTACAGTGTACCTGCAAGAAACCTGTCAATAACAAAATGTATTCAGCTTTGTCTGTCAGGATGTTTGTCCACCGTGCTCACTTACCCATTTGTATAGAGTGGCATAAGATTATTTAAACTCAGATGTAGTTTTGCACTTAAATGCTTGCAGTTGAATAGAAATTGCTCTTAATGCATGTCCTTTGTAATTAGGTTGACAAGTTCTGCATGGGGAAGGAAGGGGAATGGCAGCTTAATCCTTAGACTGAGCTGATTAAATACTGTCTGCAATAGAGTGAAGGTGACTTTCAAGCTGCTCACTTAAATTACTAATTGGAAATGTCTTTTGCAGGGTTATGGCTGATGAGCTAACCAACACCAGAGCAATTCTTCAGCGTCAAACCAGAGATGCACAAAGTGCAATTCAGGATCTGTTGAATGAACGTGATCAGTTCCGCCAAGAAATGATTCATACACAAAAGTATGATTTTCCTAATCCAGACTATTTCTCTACAAACTTCTCATTTCTGTTGGTTTATTCTGGGCTGGAGAAGAATTGAAATAACTTTCCCCTATTCCTGTTACATTTAAGAAAAAAACAGATATGCAGATGATTATATAGCTGCTTTTCATTCTCAGTGTTGAAAGCCAAAGTAGCACTAATTCTTTCCCCAGTATTCCATAGAGGTGTGAGTTCTTGAAGGTCATATAGCTTCAAGGTATGAAGGTAGAACTAACATATCTCATATCTGCAGACTATATGTAGTTAATCACTTACTGTCTTAATTTCAAGAATCTTCTCTTTCCAAAGCTAACAGATTCTTTTACCTGCCATGACTTTCCAGTGCTTAGTCTGACAAATGTCTTTTAATTTTTTCCACTGTTAAAATTCTGCATTGGCGAAGCCTTGTCTGTGAGAGTAACCTGTTTTGCCTCCTTGCTTTAAATAATGAAACCTTTTTCGATTAACATCTGACTTGTACAGCAAATTTGGGGAAGATTGCACTGAAGCATGTGTGCTGATAGTATGGAATATGAAACCACTAGATTGTTTTTCTCTCTCCGCAGGCTTCTGGAGGAACTGATGGTTTCTCTTCAGTGGGGGAGACAACAGACATACTATCCCAGTGCCCAGCCTTACACTACAACAGAGCTAGCAGCTGTGAACTGTAAACTAGCCAAAGCTGTAAGCTCACATCTTCTTGGAAATGTTGGAACTAGCAGTCCAAAAAAGACTTCAGCAGCTGTGGAATTTTGCAATACCCCTGCTGAGAAAATGGCTGAAAGGGTAAGAACCTTCCATACAACTCAGTCTTTCAACATACCAGAGGGGCAGGATCAGGATCACGTTTTCAGAAGGAAAAGCCTTGCTTTGTGGCAACTGCTTAATATTGTATTTAAAAATGATTTGCACGTGAAACATGCTGGATAGAGCTGTGTGGTGTTTAAAAATCAAAAACACAGAAGAATAAGCACAACATAAATAATATATGTATTGTTTGAAACCAAGTTGAAAAACTCTGCTTTTGAGCAGAAAACCTTCCACGCTGTTACAGAAGGATAAATCCTATTAAGCTTAGCAGATAAATTTTCATTCTCAGCTTTTCTTCTCATAGGTGCTACGTGTACTGGATCCAGCTGCACGTACAGAAACATCAACAGAAGCTTCTTTTTCTGAGACTTCTCCCTCTTCCTTCCTTTCTACAAAGAAGAATATTGGAAGGTTTCACCCATATACAAGATACGAAGACATAACTTTCAATTGTTGCGACCACTGTCAAGGAGAGCTCATAGCCCTTTAAAAACATGGCTGATGTTTATGACCACACATGCACTCTTTCTGAAGAATTCCACTAGTTGGTGTTCAGCAGGCTTCCCTTTTTCCTGTTTCTTTCTATATAAGTGGGTTTAAAATTGGAAATCCTGTATTTTCTGCTTCTCTGCCTCTTGAAGCCAGGGACTGCCAGGATTTCTTTATTCTGTGGGCTGCTTTATTCCTTTTCAGTCTGAAAAACTACTTCCTTCTACAAAGGCAAGACCAAAGACTTTATGCTGGTCCAATTTGTAGAGCCTAGAGATCCCCTGACTACTTAAGTTTGACAATCTTATTAGCAAATCTTAATGAATTCATCATCTTTACGGGGAAGTAAAAGCATAAACTATACCAAAGCAAAGGAAATGCTATATTTTTAATAAGTAATAATCATAGGTCATTAGGATATAGTCAGCTCCATGGTTCTTTAGTGTTATCCAAGGCAATGAACTGTCCTCAGGTGTATGTTCAATCTTTTAAATTTAGTCATAAGGAGTGTAAGCAATGAGTCTTTATAGCTGTAAGCTCTGAAAGAGTGCAGAGGAGAGGAAAAGAGCTTGAATGAACTCTAGCTACAACATATAAATAGTAACTGGTTTTAAATGGATTCTTGAAAACTGTGGAGTGATATTCTTGTATTTTCATGCAGGTAAAACAATGGCTTTTCCCTCTCTTTTGTCTTCTACAGTCATGCTGTTAAGTAGTCAATCCTCAGAAAAGAAACAGATACACCTCCTTTAATACACAGTGTTGAAAGCTAAACTAGCATTAGAGTTCATTCCTTGCCCACAGTCTTCCTGGGTGTTAGGGGAGGCTGAAGATAAGCACTACTTTTGCACAAGTATTAGTAAAAAATATTTTTTTACTTTATGATTTTGTTACTGTGAAGCAAGTTCAAATGTATATTCCTGCAGCTTATCTGCTAAATCCAAAGACAGGACGTAGAAGAAACACAGGAGCAAACGCGGAGGAAAAGCAGGAGGATGCAAATAAGCATTTTTAATTTAACTCCCAGATTTATCATAGGTAGTGCCTATCTTAGGAAAAGGGTTTCTACAATAGCTGCTTTCACCCTTTTTTTTTTTTTTTTTCTTTTAAGTCTCATACTACAACCAGAATTAGCAAGTTACAAGTTCTTGCTTTCTTGGGCATGCTTTGGTTTGCATGAAGAATACAATAAATTTTCTTTGCTTACAAGTTACAATTTTGGATTTAATACAGCTCATTTCAGACCCTGTGTTCCCCGCAGATAACCTTGATTTCATAAGTCATTTCAGCACATTCTCTATCACGAATTCCCAATATCAAGGTAGTGGTATATTTTAATAAATGTGGCAAACATGGAAATGTACACAAGGAATTCAGCTTCCTTGATATTGGCAAAGGTCATAATTTACATTATCTTTCATTTCATGGAATAGAAAATTACTAAATATGAATGCATCAGTTTGACTCACAGAAAAGAAGTTCCAGAAACTTGCAGGTTCACATACACATTAGCCTTTAGTCACCACTTCCCCTAGTTAGAATAGTTGGGCTGGAACAGCTGCTCCACAAGCCAATAGAAAGTGGCAAAGACTCCAGAAAGCATTTTTCAACACCACAAGTTGCACACTCATCACAAGCAGCAAATACCAATATTAATCCAGAAAAAAAAAAAAAAAAAAATCAACATCATAATAGCCTGCATCCAGGAATTCATGGTGGAGTTCAATATAAAGTGCCTTTTAAAAGGAAATGTATTTGCCACCCCCGCAAACAGATCTTGCTCTCATTTTGATTTGGTCAAACCAAGAAGATCCCTGAGTTGTGCATAAAAGCAGGCTTTTCAACAAAATAAATTATAAATAAATAGCAAAACCATTGTCGGTGAAGGGGACTGTCGAATTTGCTAGAAAGCTTTAAAAACACCACAAAGTCAGTAGCTGTAAACAGCAGTAGCTCAAGCCATAAAAATTAAGAGGGCTGTCCCCAGGAACTCAGTGGTTACCTCCAAATTTTCAACTGTAATTGTCTCTGAAGCGAAAAGATCTAGGCTCTGAACTAATGCTGTGCATGTTCTGCATCTGTTTTGCCCTTCTAGCTTCTAATCGAAGCTGCCTTGCTGCCTCTTTAGCCGCCAGTTCTTCAGCTCGCTTTTCTTCTCTCTTTCTTTTTAGCCATCTGTAGAGAGAGAAACACGACTCACAGATAAAACTGCAAATTTTATTTCATTCTTTCAAGGTAGGCTTGGCCTTGTTTAAATAAAGCCACCAGGATAAAGGTATTATGGCCACGCCAATCTAAAAGCCTGTCTGCCACAAGCATGAGAGGCACTACTTCATCCCAATACTCCTGGTGTCATTTTCAAAATGGTTTTCATAGGATTCTACTCACTCCTTAAAAGCTCTGTTGCATTCCTCTGTCCTTGGAAAAAATGTAATTCCCTCTTCCTGCCGTCTCAAAATTTCTATTTGTTTTTCTTTCATGTGTTCTTGGTGCTTTTTTTTAAGCCATAACTTGAACGCTTCTTCTGGATTCCTGTTTCTCTCCTATTTAAATAAGACATATGCACAGGGGTCATCTTTAAACAGCCTTTATATTAACTGTACTCTTATAATTTTGGAGCTCTGCTGACATCTCCCATTGACATTAGAGAAACTTGTAGCATTGGATGTTTGCTGACATGTCATGGAATAAATACATGAGCAAGCACTCAAAGCAGCACGTTATAAAAAATACAGAATTTAACTTTTTCAGCTCGTTGCAACATAGGAGAACTTCAGAGCATCTGAATCATCATTCTGGTTAAGCCACACACATTAGCTGATTGCCAACAAATTCTGATGGTAAGGAATAAACTTTAAGGGCTTTCTGCTCACAGCTGGGCTCAATTAAGTCATCCACTTGATTAAAAAAAAGGGCATCACTGTCTCTCCTGTGATTTTATTGTGAATAAGTTCACAAATGGAGCCTGTATGACAAAAGCCAACTTGCCAGGCAGAACCATCCAGAACATGCAAGGCAATCTAGCTCCTCCCTGCAAGCAATGTGACAAAAAAATTCCAATCACTGCCCATTTTCATAGACTTAGCTAAGAACCCAGGCTTACAAATGGAATCAGATCAGTATGACTGCCAGTCCTACATTAGGGTGACCTTACTTTGGTGTTCAAGTTTTCTAGTTCCTTTGCACGACGAATTCGCTTTTCTTCTTGCACTTGTTCTTTCTTCTTCTGTAACCAAGCTCTAAACACCATCTCATTCTCCCTTCTCTTCTGTTCTTCTTGCTCTTTCTTCCTTTCTTCTTCCTTGTATGAAATTAAGAGCAAATAAAACTTTACTGAAACGACTGCCTTAATCTGCAAAGGCCTTATTGTCACAATGGAGTGATTTGAGTGTCACAGTGAGTGATTTGAATTATATTCTGACAAAAATATTGACGAAAAAGGGATAACCAGACTATAGCTAGTTGCTACAATCTTTAGGAAGAAACTAGTCCAAGCACTTCCCTGCAGCTTCAGGCTACATATAGATACCCCCAGTCTAACTGCCTTTCGAGATTACCATCATTTCCATGGTACATCTTGACTTGTGAACATTTCAAAAGCAACAGGTCAGAACTTTCAAATGGACGTCTGACATCTGCCCAGTTGAGCTGATATGAAGACAGTCATGGGTAATTGATACATTTTAAAAAGTAAAGAAACACTCTGACTTGAGAGACCACTAAATCCAAAAGGATATTTAACTACTTATTGGAATGCTGGCATTATCTTAGGGAGCTTTTTCTGGGCATGAAGTTGTAATATGCTTTCTTAGGGATGTATTAATAGCTCAGCACCATTCAAGTTCATGAAATGAATTGATACTTGGAAAATTGAGAACTTTCTTCTAGCTACTAATCACATTTTAGCTAACAAGTACGTACAAGTAGGGGAAAAGACTTCAAACAGTGCTTCAGAAAGCTGATGAGGACATTTTACCACATTTTGATAACCCCCACTCATTGCAATAGTCTTCTCCTCCCACCTATGCACAGCATCTTTACTGAAAGAAACCCACCAAAATAAGGCAGATGGATACCAATAACATCAAGAATGTTTCGTGCCTGTGAAATCAATCATGCATTTGTTCCCCTTCAAGAACGAAGAAATGAAGAACTACATTCTTACGTTCTTCATAAATTGGCCAACAGAGATGTAGTGCACACTGTTAGTCTAACAGTGGACTATCATACTATTTACTTTAAATATGTGAAATATGTGGTCAAGAGATCTAGTCTTCTGTGTACGAATTAACACATACAAAATTACCACATTAGTAACTCTTCACATTTCATACCTCTTGTTACTGATCTATGCCTCAGCAAACTTTCCAAATAAAGCATGCTAGAGGTATTTTCACGGATTGAAAGGCCTTCAGAACTACTTAGCCAGCTCTTTTAGAACATCGTGGCACAGCAAATTGGTAGATGCTTCCATGACCTTTTTATTCAGTGACCTTATAAATATAAGGAGCACCTGACTTATATAAGATATATAATTATATATCCTTATATATAAATATAAGGAGCCTTATAAATATAAAGCACCTGACTGGAAGCCTAGAGGAGTGTGAACAGCTTGGGTAGAATCCATGCTACCTGTCAGGTCTGGAAGGAACATTTTTAAATGTGACCATTATTATGCTCACATAGAATTTGTGAATTGAAACGTTGCTCTTCAAAAAAAATTAAATATTTAACTCTTAAGTAGAGAAACAAATTGCAACATATCACAAGCTTTTTCCTTTCTCCAATTGCATCACCAAAGTGAAACAAAGCAGCCCTGTTTTTAAAGACTCCACTAAAGATTTATGAAGCTCCTGCTAGCAGCTGTCAGCAGCTGATTCTGCTATTAAATATTTTTCTGAAAAGAAGCTGAAGAAATAATAAAATATTGAGTATATAAATCCCTGAATAGACAGGGATTTGATTTTCTAAAATATACTTTTTTTTCCCCCCTTTTATTTGACTGCCCTGTATAGACAAGAGAATAACAACCTCTGCCATGGGAATATTTCTTTCCTTTTGTCCTCTGTGTAGCAAGCAGGTAAAACCAACAAGGGAAAATAATATCCATTCACAGAGAAAGGGAAAGCGTCCCACTTTGCAACAAACTCATTAAGAAAATTTACTACAACAGCCATGCAAAATATTTATAGGGAAAAAAAAAAAAAGTATCCTGTTGCATTACCTTTCAAGGTGATACTACCTGCATGCATCTCATGCAGCCAACAAGGCATGCTCCTTGTGAAGTCTTCCACACATTTGAAACACATGCACTCTTGTTCATAGTTCTCATAGTCACTGTCCTGTGTAAAATCCTATTTTATGACTAAACACTGTCCCATATGAGAGTTGTCAATTACCTGCTTCATCAGCACCCAAATGTGCACCTGCATGACTGTGGTTTCCCCACAGATTACACTGCAATGTGGATGTGATACCTTGTACAGTGTTTCAGTAAATAATGGGTTTGCAATGGAATTTAGAGGGAGTCAATAAACAAAAGCTGTAAGTATAGAAAAGCAAAAGAAAGTCTATTCATGAGGAGATGATTAAATATTTTGTTTCTCCTGTGAGCAAGGTATAATCCTATGTCATTATCTGTAATTCTGTTGGGTTTTGTTTCGTTTTAAGAAAATGAAAGGAATTTTAAGAGATTCTATGCTAACTCCAGAGAATTAATATTACTACTGTCTCTTTTATCATAAAAGAACAGAGTAAATGCTGTAAACACGTGGCCTTTATGAGGCAGAGGAATGCGATGGTCATTGTGATCTGCTTGTTGCCTCTGTATCTTTACCTCTTTCCTCAGTTTTTCCTTCCTTTGTTCCAACTGCTTCCGTAGTTCTTTTTGTCTAGGAGAAAGGCAGTAAGTGGAACTTCTCAAGGGCACGTTTGCAGACTGTGCTCTTGGTGGCGTCTTCCGTTTTCCCAGACCTCTTGCAGCATTGATAGCAGAATTTGGACGATGTTTAGGGTGAGATGGAGGCTTAGGCAAAAAGGCACACTCTTCTGCAGCAGGAGAAAAAGAACGTATGCCTTGTCTTATTGGACGTACTTCCTTCATTCTAGAGACAGTGCCAGAAGAACTGAGGTGAGAGGATTTTGGAGGCATACGTTGGGTTTCAATATCAGTGAAAGAAACACTTATTGGGGGCAAAAAGCCCTGGCTTTCAATATCACGTAAACTTAAGAGCTCAAACTTTCCATCTTTTTCCACTAAGACTTTACCATTCTTCTGTTCTTCATTCTTGCCAGCAGGGAATGAAAGTGATGTGCTTTCTGGTCCCGTTTTATTAGAAATATGCAACTGAGACAGCTTAGTTGAAACATCACCTCCTCCTGCAAGGTCTGCTTTATAAACTTCAGCATCTTCAAGAGGAGGAACCTCAAGATCCACCAAAGTATCCTTAAATTTTAATTTCCGCTCTCTGTTCTCACCCACAGGAGCCTGATTCTCCAGCAGTTTGTTGGCTTCCTCAATTTTTTCTAATACGTAACGCTTTATTTCTTCATCTACCTCCTCATCCAGTTCCTCTTGGTTTTCCAACTTGGATTCCTGGATAGAGCATTCACTATCAGTATCAGAAACCTGGTCTCCCTCTTTCGTGTCAGATCCAGACATCAAACTTTCCTCCTCACGGGGCTTCACTTTCACATCTATGCCTCCTTCTGAAAGCTCATCTGGATTGTTTTCCATTTTCTCATGGTCTTCCTCAAAGGTCGCCATGACTTTAGCATTTTTCCCCTCAAAGTCGTCTTCTTTCTTTTCAGGAGTCTGAAAAAATAAGCTCTTTGTCTCAATTTATTCTCTCAACAAAGAACAGTATCCAAGAAACAGAAAAGAAAGAGTGAAAGAGGAAAGCAGTACTATGTACATGTATTTTAAAAGGGGCTATCACGCAGAGAACAGATTAACAAATAGCTTTTTCCGCACTAATAAAACATTTTCTCCATGTACATATCTACACAAAGCTTAACTAACCACGGCTCGAGCACTGAAGCAATCAGTGATAAGGTGAAAACAGAGCAATGTGCTGCACAAGTACTCCAAGGAGCCTGCACTGGAAGCAGTACTTTTGTACCAAACACATTTTCAATGAACACTGAATTTTTTGTGTTAAGACATTTGTAAGCAAACTAACCAGGTCACTGGATTATTTTCTGCTGTCATTCCAAATAACCTTCCTTGTCAAAATTCAATGAGCATACCCACGCATCTCAAACCACAGTGAATTTAGTGCTTAGTATGCTTAACGTATATTCTTTTGGCCTTCTAAATAAAATGACTAACATTTAATTTAACAAATACCTCTCTTTCACCAAGGTTTTCCTTCTCCTCTTCATTAATTAGCCATTCAAGGTCTTTTTCAAAGTCATCCTCATATTCTTCTCCTTCTGTTAAATTATCCATATTTGCCAGACTACCCTGGTCTTCATTTTCACTCATTTTGGTGCTATGGTAGAGTGATGCTATGAAAGAAGGAAGAAATGCTTTAAAACTCCAGCACAGAACACAGCTATCTCCCACAGCACCCACATCAAACTTGCGAGCAGTATCAGTACAACCACGTAAGGCAGTGCCACGGCATCGCAGAACTAAGGATGATTTAAAAATATGAATGGCTTTGGCCTTTCCAGCTCTAATTAGGAGGAGGAAGATTTGAATCAAAACACAGCAAGACGACATACTCAGCATCTCTCCTACAGTTTTTGACACACAATCTCCTAACTGGTATTCTCCTTATTTAACAAAAAGATCACTATTTTCTCAGTTTTAGAGGTATTATGAGCTTTCAATGCTCCCAGGTGTGGGATTTACATCCTCAGCGTTGCTCTCTACCTGCTTGCCCCCCTCTCCTTTAAATATTTTTAAGTTACATTACAAAGCTGTGGGATTCTAGAAGATCTACGTCACAGCTTAAAAGAGAAGGAGCCAACAAAAAGCTTCTATTAAAATGAAAGACACTCACTGACTGGGCAGGAGCCATCTGCTACCATTACCAAACATATACAAGCAGCCAGCACTTACACCATGTTATTTCCACTAATACTTGGGGTCAGGAAGTCAGACAGACCACGTGAGACTGACAGAAAAAAGATTCCATTCTGGTTTGAATGGATGAAAAGGGTAATGATGGGAAAGAGTAGCCAGTTAATCAAGCTGGATATAGCCAAACTCATGACAGAACTGAAGATAAGCCACCATAACGATAGAGTCTTTTAAACAGTCTTTGGACTGCACAGCACATAGGTGCCAATGGCTCCTGTTTGGATGCCAGGGTGCCTGCCTGGAATCACTCCCACCTAAAGTCACAATAGGGTTGAAGGTATGCAGAGACACAGGCCAGACAGCTGATGATGTTCTTTTAACAGCGTTAGCCACTCATCATTCACTCCCTAATTTGTTTCTACTTGTTTATTGAAGCAACATAAAAGGAAGCTGTTCAAAAGTTCCCTTCCTCTTTGCACCCTTTGCTGTAACCTGGAAGTTGCCGCTTCCACATCTCTCTCCTATAATTACTTTGCATCCTCACAAACACTATAGGATCTCAATATGAGTAAGCACGTGGCAGCACAACATGGGATGCAGGAATTAGCTCTGAGCCAGGAGGGCCCCAGAACAGTAGGACAACTCCAGCTGTTTGATTTGCCCTGCTGTTCCAGACAGGAAGGGCTGTGCCTGGACTTCCCTCTCTGCCTAATTATCTTGTCATATGTTCTGTAACATCCAAAAGCTGCTGCTGAACCTTTTCTTTTATATTCTGATGAGCATCACTGAGTTCTCAGTTATGTACTCACACACAGTTCTGTCTCTCACAACTCTTTGTTCTATGCATGATGAGCGCGTTGTTCTTTTAGGCCTCGAAATTTAGTCAAGATTTAGTTACAAGGAAAGAACAGTTGTAAGGTTGGTACTTTTATTGCAAACATATACAAACAACCCTTATGAAAGCTCCTTATTGTTTAAGCCATTCTCAGTTCAAGGAAATCTGGACACTTTTTTATTCTTAGCTCTCATTTCTGTTTAGCTACCACTTGCTGGGATAATCACTTCAGGTCACACCAGGTCACTCTTGAGTTAAAATTTTCGAGACTTGTTCTGATTCTTGTCTTGACTTTCTACACCACATCTATTTCCCCTCACGTTTTACCTGCACCTCCACTCATAACAGACACAAATCTTTTTGCTTGGAAAGGCCCCTTCCTTCCCAAACTCCTTTGCTCTGGGTAGTGGCACATACCTTAGTTCCTAACAGAGGTTACCTTACTCTAGGACATACTCAGCATAAAGAACTACTCCTCCTACACTTCTTCATAATTATGTGAAGCAGTTTTAAAAGGCACAGAGCTGAACTGTGCCTTTAACAAAACACATTCATGACAATCTCTGCTGCTTAATAGTGAATTTTTTTTTTTAAAATGATGCAGATAACAAAAGAGGCTAGTGTGAGCTCAACCTCTTCTGTCTTAGCATGAAGCAGTTGTGGCTGAAGAGGTACTTTCAGTTTAGCTTAACAATCCTGTTCCAGAAGATCCTGAATCAGCTCCTGCTCCATTGTGGGAATTATGAAGTAAGAATTAAAAGCACTCAGCTTCAGGAGGGACCAGAAGTTTTTAGTGAATCTCAGATCTTCAGTTCCATAGAACAGTTGGGCTGGAAAGGGCCTTAAAGCCCATCCGTGTCCAACCCCCTGCCCCCCCCACCAGCTAAAGCTGCCCAGGGCCCCAACCAACCCAGCCTTCAACGCCCCCAGAGATGGGGCACCCACAAGCTTCTGTGGGCAGCCCGTACCGGGGCCTCACCACCCTCTGCGTAACAAATTTCTCCATAGCGCGTCATCTAAATTTAGTTTAAAGCCGTTACCCCTGGTCCCACCAATGGAGGCCCCTCTGGCCTCAGGCCCACCCCTCCGGGCCTCGCTGGTGCTCAGAGCGCGGCTCGGCCCGGCGCGGTAATGTTGCCATGGCAACAGCTCCGCCCCCCCCCCCCCCCCCCAACCCCGCAGCAACGGTCACCACCGATGGCGGCCCCCGAGGGCCAAACTCCCTCCCCCGTGGCCGTCGCCATGGCAAAGGCGGGCGCGAGCCCTGCCGCCGGGCGGCGCCACCCCGTCGCCGTGGGGACGGCATGGCGGCCCTCTGGGCCCATCCGCGGGCATTCCGGTGCCGGAAGCTTTGCGCTGCGTCGTTCATGCCGCGGTATCAAATCGGGAATGTTTGTTAGTGCTACACCGCTGGGGAAGTGCCCCCTCTGTGATAATCGTGCATCGCTCCGACAGCTTTGAAATGTGAACTAAGAAACAATCCTAAATAAAATTACCTTCTGGGCTGAGATGGCTCATCCCCACCAGCTTCCCCCCCCCAAGCTGCAGGCCCAGCCACCCTCAGGTCACGCTAAGAACGGGAATGTTTTCCCTGTGCAGAGCGTGGTGCTTCCCCACACCTCACTGCGGGGCATGTCCCTTCTCCGGGCTCCTGCTGGCGTGGAGACTGTGGCCACAGCAGCACAGTGGGCACAGGAATGGGACAAGGAGACGTCCTGGCATGCAGCTTGTTATTCTCAACACGGCAGTAGAGCCCTGTTTTGATTTAAAAAGTCCTAACAAAGCTGAAAGAGACAGCCTAGAACCACACCAGAAGGCCAAATGCCTCAGAGAGAAGGGAGGGCCCCACGGTATTTACCTGAGATAATGTGTTACCTACTGATGGAGGTCCCTGCTGCAGTAGCAAAAACTGGCCTCAGGCAGGGTCAGATAGCCTGTATGTGAAGATGACACTCCAGAGTTTCAGTTCCCCACATTTACATGCATAGACAAGTTCACAGCATCTAAAATAAAACTTTGATATTGCCCCAGTTCTCTCTGTGCTCTTCTACTTCTAGCACACCCTTCATCTTACAAAGCAGTGCCACCCTTTTCATTTACCAGAGATGCTTTATTCTTCTAATTACAAGTCAGCCTGATTGTAAGACAAGGATTAGACTTAACTGCTGAAAGATCAAGCTTTAATGCCTGATAATGAATATGTAATTATATTTCAAGATGAATCTAAAAAGCATGCACATGTTTTTGAACCCGTGTGTCATTAAGTTTATGTCTTCAGATGTTCCTTTCTGTGATGGAACCACAACACAACACGGTTGTGAAGAAACACAATGGAAACAATAGCTGAGCAGTGCAGCACTCCAGGGACAGGTTTCCTACATGCTGGTTGCTCTTTTTTGTGTCACTAATGCACCAGATACTGCATTTAGGAAACACCAATTTATTCAGGACAAGTGTGCTTAACAGAGAAAGGCTGTGTGACACCTGCAGAGAACCACTGAACAAGCACTGCCACATTTTTAGTAGGAGACAGCTGACACTGTCACATGTCACTAGGAATAGGAACTGGAGCTGCTAGCCCCCTGCCCTCCTTCATAACTAAAGTCTCTCTTTCCTTCCCAGTAATTAGCTACAATTGTGCCAACAAAGTAAAAAATGTAATCATATCTGTGCAGAGCCCTTCCCTTCCCTGAGAGCACAACCAAACAGCCCCTGCTTTACACATGCACACAGCCACAGCAAATTTTAACATAACTCTGCAGTGCCCTCGCAGGCTCTCAAGGCCAATGACAGCCCAGAAACACAGCAGTGGGTGCTGCCTGCTGTACTGAGTCCTCTAGCAGCTCCCACTGTTCCTTATCTTTTGAACACAAGCCTCTCCCCTAACAAGGACCAGAAGCCCAGGAGCTATGTAAGGACCTCAGCAAACCGAGCACAGGATGCACAGATTCAGTTTTGACACTTACCTGAAAAGGGTACCAGCCACCACGTCCCAGGGAAGCAGCTCAGCCACGCGTGGTATTTCTCTCGTCCCTATCAAACCACACCTGCTGCTAAGGCAGGAATCCAGTTTGTGGCAGTAGCTTGACGTCCCTTCTCAGCTATCACTGTGGCAGTGTGCGATGGGAGGAGCAAGAGGGATTGCCACGGTTCACGTGGACCTGCTTTGCTCACAGAAGAGAAGCAGCATCAGGATTCTTGTCACAGCACCTTTCATCAGCAGCAGAGATGTGAAACACTTGAATCTGCTTTGAAATGTAATGCTATGCTATCTGAGCTATTAATTAGTCCCCTGCTTTATGCAAGCATAGATTTTAATCCCCTGAACGTTCAAGAAGCTAATGCTGGCATTCCTATTCACCCAGATAAGGCAGAGAATGAAATTCACGTGTCTGACGTACTGACAGTTGCATCCATCCTGCCTCAGCAATAAGGCTCTCAAAGAAATACTTGCAAGAGCTGCATTTTTTCCTAGCATACACACACACCCTCCCCAGTCACCTATTTTTTCCTCTTAACAAGCAATACAGAAGGCTTGTTGGCTACTCCCCACACCCTGCCACAGTCTGGTAGCCCAGAGAGTACTTCCCCCCCTTAAGCCCAGCCTGCACTAGCAGGTAGCAGTCATCTCTTCCAGAAGTACAGCACAAGGACAGCTTCCTAATGTAATCAAGCGTAGATGTGCCTGGACAGGAAATCTATAGTGTTCTGCCTTAGAACCTCAATTTTGTAATCTGGTTGATGTAAATAGAAAGATCCACCTGCACAGTAAACACACCTGCTTTCTCTTGCAGTCAACCTTAATGAGACTTGTGCTTCCTGCCCAGGGTTACCCTGCACCAAGATTTTCCCTCAGCTGCAGTCTGTACTAGAACTACAGAATGGGATTTCTGAACTGCTCAGCAATTAAGGAACCCCAAGGCAAGACACTCACACAGAGTTCTGCAAACCTATACAAAACAGAGCCAAGAAGATGATAGTTGATTCTTTGCATGGTTTGTCCAGATTTTTTTCCCCCCCCTTGTAGCAGAGATGCTCAAGAAAACCTGCAAACATTAATGGCAGCAACGCCATGGATTAGCAAGATATCAGAATAGAAAGACATTGACCACACATGGTATCTTGAAAAATTTTTATTTAACAAAAATACCTATTAAATTAGAAACAAGGTGAATGGGTCCTACCAACAGCATCAACATGTTTACAGAATTTCATAGGCATCAGTAATTCTGTGTACAGCTGCAGTTAGCCACTGGCATTTCATCACCACACCAGCAGCACAACATAATAACATCCATAGCCTTCATACTTTGACAGGCCTGAAGATGTACACAGTGTAACATGCTGCTCTATTACAATTTCATTACTTTTGTAGAAAAAAAAAAATCATTGTTACTGCTGTAACTCATAACTATTTGACTTTTTTTTTTAATAACTGTGTTGCTCCCCATCAAACATTTATTCTCTGTAATAAAAACAGTAAAATTGAGCTGCTTCTTTCAGTCACTTGATACAAGTGCCATGTATCCATGCCTCATCTCATGTCACAGCTGTCATCAGGCTAAGGAGTCCAAAGGACAGGAGACGCTCTTTCTACTCCTCTCTCAAGACACCCTGTCAGCTAGACTTCACAGCTTCAGATTTTTTTTTAATACATTAAAGAAGGGAACGTATACATAGGTGGCTTCAAGTTTCTATTTCAGGATAAGGCAGTTAAATTTATGCATTTCAGTGTCACTACAGCTGAACCCTGAAGACACTTCAGGAGGTGGGCTGCTGGTACTATGAAGCTCTGGAGAGTGCATCTCCTTGCACAGCCAACCTGGAAGAGCTCCACAGACCCCAGAGAGCATAACCTCAAATGTGTTAGTCATTCATTTTGTGTGGTTAAGACTAAGGCTCACACAAATGATGAGAATGGCTGTATCTCTTCCAGGCAGGAGAGAAAAAGCTATGAGTTCTCCACAGCACAAGACAGACCAGGCAATAAAATGAAGCTGACTCTTCAAGGCTGACTGGAATAACTCCAGCTGCACAAGGAGTAGGCATGGAAAAGAAGCAGACTGTACAACATGTTCTCCCATATGCTTAAAACCACAACCTGCACAGCAACAGGGACAATTTACAGGACATGCCCACAGTGCTGTGCTGGTTATGGTGCCTGAGTACCCAGGTGCCCAGGTCTGGGACAGCTCTGTGTAACTCCTCACCAGTGCTGAAGCAATTTGGAACAAATAAATTATTTTAAAAATCAGCTATGAGGCAAGACCCAAATTATCCAGACCAAAGAAAATAAAACATTTCTCCCACAAATATTCTTTTCTTTTTGCTTAAGTGGAAAAATAAGGCAGAACTAGTGATGCAGACCCACCAGAAACAAAGGCGCTTTAAAATGGGAAGGAGTGACAGAGCAGTAATCAGTATTTCTCAAGACCTCAAGAGTTCATTCTGTTAAATACAGTAACTGAAGTAAATACAGTAACGGCAGTCACAATTCTGAGGTTACACAGAACAGTCTAAAATCTTGCAAGTCACCTTCCTCCTCCGATGATGCACTCATATCCACCATCCCACTGAGATAGCCCAGCCATCAGGGTTATGAATCAGTGACTCATACAATTGCAAGAATCTGCAACCCTAGAGGACAAAGGCAAGGACATCAAGTGGTTCTGCAGACTAGCACCTAGTCCACTTGAAAATGGATCCCTCTCAGGCTCCCCTACAGCTTTACATTCCCTTGGGCACAGGCCTTCACAGCAGAAGTAGCATCACTGAGAGCAATTCAGGGCTGCCACAAGTTGCCCCAGGACACAGTTAGGCTTTTGGAGAGGCAAAACTATCAGCTATAGTAAAAATCTGACAGCAGAGATAGGAGACAAGCAGCAGAAACAGTACAAACAACTGAAGGAAGCATGTGCGTATGCAGAAATCTTAGTGTCAGAGACCTCAAAACAAAGTAACGAACATCACAGGGCAGGCACTGTGAGAACCATGCTGCAGAGTACAGGCCTAAGGCCACCGCCTCTCCTGGGCCCAAGTCTCTGCAGAAAGAAGTCTTTGAACACACCCTTTATGCAGCAGCATCTTAACAACAAGAGTAGTGGCTGACCAGGCAATCCTAAAGCTGCCTTTCCTACAGCAGCCTCCAGATGCACAGCCTTAGACTAAAACGTCCCAAGGCTTTCATTTTTTTGAAGTTTGTTCTTCATTGCGCATCCCAAACATGCAACAGAAGAACAAAAGGCATTTTAGAAAGAAGATATTTGTTCTTACTTACGTAAGACCTAATACATTTACCTTTGAAAGTGTACTACTAATATAGTATAAATATGGATCAAGTACCATCAAGATGACTGCCTTGGGAAGAAAAGGCAGAGATTAAAAACAGACCTCTGTCTTCATATGTAGCCACACAGTCTTCATGTAGTGCACTAACAGCTTTCAGGAGACCTGCTTCGCACCCGCTCTTGTCTTCTGTGGGCTCTCATAATACTGAATAAACCACTGCCCAAGAACACCAGGGAGATAGCCGCAAAATACGATGCATAAATCATGAACTGCAGAGAAGAGAAGGAAAAAGTGACTAAACAAAACAGTTACTAAACATGTAAAAAGGTTAATTCATGAGCTTCCTTATTCTTAAAGATCAGGAATTAGTAAGCATTTCTTTATCAGCAAACCCTTGCCCCAGAAACTGGTGGCTGAGAGACTTCATAGCCTAGTTTTGCATTCCTCCCTCCCATCAGTAAAGAAAAAAGTCTGTCAAACCTGAGTGAAGATGTCCAATCCAAGCCCACTGGCATCCACGACAATTAATGTGAGTAAAGTCTGAAGTGCTAAGGCAATGAATGTGTTGACCCCAAACACCAGAGCATACCGCTCCACACTGAGATTTGTAGCAATCTGAAACCTGGAGAGACAGGGATGGACAGAAACATAAAGATGGGGAAGGAGAAGGGAAATGTAAGACTAGGAGGAACATCTCTGTATAAGATAACTAGGCAATGGAGGAGCTACATGTTCTCTACAGCTAAATTAGCTTGCACTGGTAGTATACTTGTCTAACTAGGATCAGACTAGTGGAGACTCCAGAGACATATAAGAAGCTACAGATACTTTGGGAAGCTTGTGGGTTTCAGACTTATTGAAGCAGCTCTGTCTGATGCAGTCTGAACAGGTACAATGCCCTCTAATCTCAAGAACTGCTGGCAACCTCTAAGCGTCAACCTACCTCAGTGTGGGCCGTGACCTCCTGCACAATCCTGAACAGGAGTTCAGGATCCCTTTGCAGTTACCAGTTTCACCATCTCCCCTCCAAAGTACCTGGGCTGTCACACAGCACTGGGTATAAGCTCAACAACAGCTGCGTTTACCTCCTCAAAGCAAGGAGGTAACACTGAAGAAGTCTTCTCCAGTATATGTTAGGGAAAACTGACCCCATAAAATGGATAAAGTATTGTCCTCTCCTCGTGGCTAACACTTCACCCCCGCCATGTTTACAGAAATAGTGGTTCTTGCCAGGGCAATCTAATATTTAAACATTCAGAAAAATATATTTTTAAATATTTTTAAATATTTTTTAAATAAAGCCATTTGAGCTTGGGCACACTTCCAGCAAAATACACACCGCTGTGCCACAGTTTCCAACTTGAATCAGAACACAAACCCTTACAACAGATTTCCTGAACCAAGGTGAGACACTGCTTACATAGAAAATAGGTCAGCTTTCACATCAGTTATAGCCTTGAGAGTAATTTACATTAAAAAAAATATACACTTACGTTGCTATTGTGATTAGCAGCATGTAAATAATTCTGAAGACAACATAAGATGCATAGCACACCCAGATGTTGTGAACAGTGTTCATAATATATACAGCAGCAGCAATAAGAAAGGAGAACAGGGCAAGTGCCACTTCACCCCACATGGCCCAGGATGTTTTTATATGACCCACAGCAAATACTGCAACAGCTCCTGTGAAGGGAAGGAAAGTATAACTATTAGTTACTGCACTTGGAACAATTTGGACACAGTATTAGTCGTATGGCCTCTACTACCTAAACACAAGTGAAGTGGAAGATACTTATGCACACACCTTAGCAAATCTAAGCTCCTATTTATGCTAAGGGAGAAAAACAAAATAGGTCAGTGAGATGACTCCTACTGAAATCTCCTGCCTGGCTTCGTAAGCA